TGTGTGTGTGTGTGTGTGTGTGTGTGTGTGTGTGTGTGTGTGTGTATACATGCATGCCCACCAGGTCTGTTTCTTTCCTCTAATCACATACAGTACCCATTACCTACCTCCCTACCATAAAGTTTTGTTGTGGAGCTGAAAGGAGATATCTGATAGCACAGGAGAGTGTGGTTTACAAAGCCTGGAGACCTGTTAGTTGTTATCATTTTTAAATGTATCTTGGCACCACAAAGACAAGGATCTTTATTCTCTCAACATTTCTGTTCCCTCCCTCTTGAGCCTGAAAAAAGTACTTGTGCTCTCCCCACCCACCACCGCCACTCTTAGATTCCCAGAAGTACTGTTTCAGTTGCTAACCCTTCCAGGAATAGCCCTGCAGAGCCAGGAGGGCAAGGGAGCAGTGATGACCACATCATGCTGTAAGGTAATGGCTTTCAGAAGGCTTGCTGTGTATAGGTTTCATGGAACTGCTCTTCCTTTCAGTATGGCATCTGGAAGATAATTGGAAGCCCCCCCAAAAGTGAGATCAGCCGCCAACTTCTCTTACTGCTGGGCAGAGAATAGCAGAGCTGAAAGGGATCATAGAGATTTTGCTCTCCTGTCTTCATTTTATAGATGAAAGCCCAAGATTCAGGATGGTAGGGTGAATTTCCTTGGTCTTGGAGCACTCTAGTGATAGAGCTGAGACCAGAAACCAGGTCTCCTGACCCCCAGTCTGGTGGCTGTTCCGGTACTCTGTGCCACCTTTCCTTGTCTTACCTTTTTAAAAAAATTTTGGTCATTTAACCAATCTTGTTACCATCATTTGAAAGGGACTAAGCACCAGAAGAATGTCTCTGAGGGACGGGCTTACATATGTGAATTCACCCAATTGAGTGTCTGCATTTCAGCCTTGCAAGTGCAGGAATTGGACTTCGCCCAAGCAACCAGGGATCATTGGATCTAGGAATATATCAGTCAAGCTCCTAAGCTACTAATACAGTTAAACTAAAATCATTAAATACTATATTAGTTGTTGCCTATTTTAATGGCTGAGAATTGGTCATCCGTGTCAGGCCTGTGTTCGGATGGCTCTGTCATCTGCAAGCCACATATGCTCTGCCATATGTATTGTTGGGTGAGGTACTTGATTTTCCTGAGCCTTAATTGGTATATTATGAGGATTAAAGTAAGTAATGCAGGTAAAGATCCTAGCACATAGTAAGTCTTCAAAAAATGTCACTTCTTACTATCTTAATAACTGTTCATTCTTCTGAACTCAAATTCCTCCCTAGGTGATAGGTCATGTCTGCCAAAGTCAGTACCCCATGAATAATGCCATATAATTACTGCCAACTTCTTCTGACTTTGGGGAATGCTTTTTTTTTTTTTTTCCTTCTGAGCTCTACCCTTGGGTTCACACAGCTTTTGTTCCAAGCAGCATATAATAAAATAATCAGACTTCTGCTTCGAAATCATAATCACATTCCAGTCTTACCTCCTTGAGAGCTTACATTGACCAGAATTATAGGTTTTCTTAAATTCTTCAGCACCATAACTGGCAATCTTTAGCTTTTTCTCATGAACAAAAGGGCACACATCCATAGGCAAATAAAAAATACAGGATACATAGGTGATAATTAGCTAAGAAACTCAGTGACTAATATTCCTACAGTGCTTTATGACTTTAAAAGAGTATTTCTTTTCATGCACTCTCACACTGATTTCCCATCCGATTTGAAAAATGGTTTTTATTCCAGATTTACATTTGGGGAAACCAGAAGTTAGAAGTTTTTGAGTTAGAAAGACCTATAATTGAATCCCAGAATCACCACTTATTGACTCTATGACCTTGTGGAAATCACTAAGCCTCTCTGAGACTTGATTTCATCTATAAAACAGGTGTAGGAATACCTACCTTGCATGGTCTTCATGATGGAGTGGTGATGTATGTAAAGTGTCTGACTTCTGGTAAGACCCCGGTAAATAGTAACTACTAAATTAACTGACATGAAGGATTTAATACTATGTAAAATATCATAGTGTTAAAGGGAGCTAATATTGGGCTCCCCTAATGTCAAATTCCATGAGCAACCAAAAAAGACTTTTGGTAAGTGTATCCACAGGAAGAAAAACTAAGAAGGTTGGGTTAATGGCTTGCAAAGATTGGATCATATTAACGATTTGGTTAAAAAAAAAAAAAAAGAAGCACTCTTATTTTCCTTCTTTGTTCTCACTCATTAACTTAATGCTAGGGATCATGCTACCTGTAGGAGAATAGTGATGAACCAAAGCCGACAGGGTTCCTGCCTTCCTCTAGTTTTCAGTGTAGTAGAGAGTGCATTAGTCCATCAGTCACAAACTTAAGTGCTGAGATAAATGGTACAAAGAATGGGTCAAGGGGGCCTAAAGAATGCGTATTAATGGGATATGGCCTTGTCAGGGAAACTAGGAAATGTTTGAGGAATGGATGTTTAGAGGAGGTTGATATGCAGTAACTCTGAAAAGAGGGCTGAGAACAGTGTTTCAGGTAGAGGGAACAGCATTTGCAGTAATTGTGGCAGGAGGAAGCATGGTGAAGGAAGACCACTGTGACTAGAGCTGAGAAACTTGGAACAGGTTGCAAGATGATGCTGAAATCATTATCTCAGAGGACTGGCTTCATTCAGACTGAGTGTGGTTGAGAGAAAATGGAAAATTTAAGGAAGTATTTTGACAGTCTCAGTCAGTGTTGTATATTCATGCTCAGCTGGGTATTCACAACTAAGAAAATAAGTTGCAGATGTGATCTTGGAGCCCCTGAGAGCAAGATTGAATTGCTGCTCAGATAAGTTACTGCTCCCAGCTTTCCAAAATTTTGACCCCTAAAAATGACCTGTGCACTTCATGTTAATCACACAAGTTATCTTGGTTGTGATTGTTATGCATATAATTGTAAAAGAGGATGTCATTAGGAAGTCACACAGGTTGACTATGAATGAATTCTGCTAACCTAACCTCAGATGTTGTCTGTTCTTGAAATTGCTTTCTCAGGAACACTCTCCTTCTTTAGATTGTTGGGCATAGTTGAAGCTCCAGTAGCACGCAGTGCTTACATCTTGTCCGTCTGCTCTTACATCCTCAACTAGACTGTTTGTGCTGTCTCCTCTGCTCAGCATCACCACTAAATAAAGGCTGGCTGGCTGGCTGGGGGAGATTGAGATCCAACACAGAATTCTTGATTTGCCCGCACAACCCAGCTACCTAATATGTTCCTCTTGTTGTCTCTTCTATCTCCCATAAAAGGTGCAGTAGCTCTCCTACTTGGTCAGGACCCAGACCCAGAAGTTATTCTTGATGCTTCTCTTTCTCTTTCACCTAGCATTCAATTCGCCAGCAAGTCCTATCTTCTTGGCTCCAAGGTGAACCCTGAATTAGGCCATTCCTACCCCTTTTCACTATTACCATCCTAGTTCAGAGTACTTTCATCTCTTGCAGGGTTCATGTACCAGCCTCTTAATTGGTTTCCTTGATTATGTTCTTCCCTCTGATAATCCATTCGCTACCATAGTTGGATTATTATTTTAATAATGTAAATCAGATGATGCTCCTCTCATGGCCACATTCTTCCAGTGGCTTTCTATTACAATTAAAAAAAAAAAATCTAAATCCCCTGACATGCTCTTCAAAGTCCTATGTGATAGCTCTCTCCTTCTACCCTCTTTCTTTTATTTCTTGCCACGTCCCCACGTATTTACTGTCCAACCACAGTGATGTTCTGTTTCTCAAACATTTCTGTTATGTGTAGCCTTTGCATTAACTTGGCTCTCTGTCTGCCTTGGCTTTTCTAAAAATATTGACATGGTTATCTCTTTCCCTTTGTTCATTGCTCAGTTTAAATGTCATTGGAGAAGAGCCTCCTCCGCCCCTGAGCTACCACTCCCTTCCCTGCTCCAGCAGTATTGTTGCTCTCTTGTATTTTCTTCTTAGTACTTGTCACTATCTTACTACCTTATTCTTGTATGTATTTATGTGTTTATCGACAGAATAGCTGTTCATTAAGTATTTTTGAATAAATAAATGAGTTAGAGTTTTAGAACTGATAAAATGGCATAGAAGAAATGTATCTTGTGTGCTATACATTTTTTAGGAATTTCTAGCAGTTTTCTCCTAGTTAAAATAGAAGACCTTGGAATGAGTGATGCATTCAGAATGGATTCCCAAACGGCTAAGAAACTACCTCAAAGACTGTGGATAAAGAACTTCATCTCAACTCCTTGTGAGCCCCTGGTGGCATGGCACGTGGCATTCATTGCATTTTAACTTCCCCTTGATAATATTTTCAATCAGCAACTTGGATGAACACATAGAGGACTTGCTGAATAAATATGTAAATGATACAAAGCAGGGAACCATAATTAATACAATTAAATAACATAATTCAGAAATTTTTTAAAGATTTTATTTATTTATTTGAGAGAGAGAGCGAACATGAGTGGGGGTGGAGGGAGAAGCAGGCTTCCTGCCGAGCAGGGGAGCCTGACATGGGGCTCTATCCCAGGACCCTGAGATCATGACCTGAGCCAAAGGCAGGCACTTAACCAACTGAGCCACCCAGGTGCCCCTCAAATTTTTTTTTAAAGAACACCAGATTAGCTTTGCGCAGTGGCAGTATCGTAGCCAATGAGGTTTATCCGAGGCGCGATTATTGCTAAAAGAACAACAGATTAGAAGGGTAAGTTAAAATTAATGTGAATTTTTATCAGGGTATGTCTTTTCATTAAAAAATGCATGGAAGGAATGGGTAAAAGATTTGAATATATATTATAAATAAAAGGGAAAATAAAAGGACAATATATCTTTTCTAAAGAAGATATCCAGATGGCCAACAGGTACCTGAAAAGATGCTCAGCATCACTAATCCTCAGGGAAGTGCAAATCAAAACCGCTATGAAAAATAAAAAATCACTATGAGATATCACCTTACATCTGTTAGATTGGCTCTTATCAAAAAGACAGGAAATAGTAAGTGCTGGTGAGGATGTGGAGAAAGAGGAGCCCTCATGCACTATTGCTGGGAGTGCAAACTGGCACAGCCACTGTGGAAAACAGTAGGGAGGTTTCTCAAAAAGCTAGAAGTAGAATTACCAAATGATCCAGCAGTTCTACATCTGGGTGTTTATCTAAAGAAAACAAAAACAGTAATTCAAAAAGATACACGCCCCCCCCCCCCCGCCATTTCACTGCAGCATCATTTACAATAACCATGACTTGGAAGCAACCTTAATGTCCATCAGTGGAGGAATGGATAAAGAAGATGTGGTGTGTGTATGTGTGTGGACACAGTGGAATATTATTCAGCCACAAAAGGAATGAAATCTTGCTGTGTGTGACAACATGGGTGGATCTTGAGGCCATTATGCACGGTGAAATAAGTCACTTATATGTGGAATCTTCAAAACAAAACAAAACAAAATAAACAACAAAGCAGCTCATAGATACAGAGAACAGATGGTGGTTGCCAGAGGCAGGGGTGGTGGGTGGGTGAAATGGGTGAAAGAGGTCAAAAGGTACAAACTTCCAGTTATAACAAGTCCATTCTGGGGATGTATGTACAGTATGGTGATTCTAGTTAGTAATGCTGTATTGCATATGTAAAAGTTGCTATGAGAGTAAACCTTAAAAGTCCTCATCACACACAAAAAATATGTAGTAAGGTGATAGATTTTAACTAGACTTAATGTGATCATTTCACAATATATACAAATACCAAATCATTATGTTGTACACTTGAAACTAATATAATGTTATATGTCAGTTATACCTCAATTAAAAAAAAATGAAAAACAAAAGTAGCTTCTCAGTGGTGTATATGTAATCTCAGTAGTAGCCTAAATTTCTTAGAGAATGCTTGATTGCCAAGGAGCAGTGAACCAAGTACGTATTTGTTGAGTACTTATTATGTACCAGTCACTTCCATACGCTTTATAACTGTTAACTTATTAATCTGCTTAGCCAGTCTAGGAAGATACTCTTATCCTTTACTGATATACTTTACTGATTAGGAAACTCAGGCGCAGAGAGGTTAAGTAAGTTGCTCAGGTCACACAGTAAGTAATGGAGCTGGAGATAGTTCTCCTCTAGAGCCTGCATCTCTGACCACAAGGCTGCAGAGCCCCTTGAGGCTGGGCTGCGTTAATACAGCTGCAGTGTTCAGGTCAGGATTAGCGAGAGCCTCAGTTCTGGTCAGATTATATCTGAAATTCTCTGTCCCATTCCAGGCCTCACATTTATAAGGACCACTGACAAAAAAAATAATAATAATAAAAAATAGTGTATCTACAGGGGAATGACCCAGATAAGATAATTTAGATCTGGTGAATGTGGGAAATAAAACAGTTGACCAGTCTGGGGCTGTCCAACCTGATAAAATCACCTGCCCAAAGTCAAAAACATTAATAAATGATGGCGCTCGATTCTAATTCAGATCTGTGGGCCACCAAAGCCCCTCCTCATTGCTGACTCAAGAAGCTAACAAAAGATGCAAGCCCAATTCCGAGGTTCCTTCTTCCTTTGCTCTGAACTGGCACAGGGAAAAGAGGCCTGAGGATAGGGCTTTCAGAGGATTAGAGTTCTCTTGGCTTCTCTGAAATTCCAGGAGGAGAGTAAGTAGACAATATGACACTTGCAAAGCCACGTGCTTCATTCACATTAAAATTCACAAGTCAGTTTGGATTTTTTCCCCTTTACGGAAAGTTATTAAGTAGAGACTTGCATCTGGATCCCAGGTGGACATCTGACCTCTTGCCATTATTACCATCCACAAGAGGTCATTTAGTTGAGTGTTCTCGGAGAGTGGCCATTTCCAGTGGCTGCCTTCATCTGCCGTATGCGGCCTGTCCTAGCCGCTGCCTCTCCAACTTAGCTTTTCTTGGGCATGCAGCCGGTAGGTGGTGACCTTGGTTTCCAAGGTGGCCCTTATCCCCAACTTCCTAGCTCCTCTGTGATGCCCTTCACCCCAGTCCTGTGGATTTTGATTGTGAGATACCCATGACCTTTTCTGTTTCCCAGAACGTGCTAACCTTTCTGAGAATCCACATCAGAAGGCTGCTGTGGTCAGGTTGGCAGGTCACCGGTTGACTAATGGCCTCTTCAAGGTTTGCTGACAGATACTGCATTGTTGTGAACCCTATTGATCCCAGAAGTTGGCCTGCTGCACATACAGCCTCTGTGGGCATGAGGAGGTGGTGAGTCACGGCCCCACCACCCCTACCACGCATCTGTTCTCATGGCAAGGAGAGCAAAGATTATCTCTTTGTGGTATCGTAAAACCTAGAAAGACATTAAAAATTCCGTTAAATTTTCATACGCTTTTAGCTGTTGAAATGTACAATCTATTAGGAGGGGAAAATAGCCTCTTGCAGTTTTTTTTCCCCATTGCTCTTACTTCAGAGGCTACTTAAGGGACCAGGTAATGATCTTACAATATTTATTAATACTTCATGTTCTGCTTCCTCCCCCCGTTCTTTTCTACCAAAGACTATGCATCTGTCTTTAAATTGAAAGTACAGAAGCTGCCAGGGGATCTTTAAGGTACAGAGTTTCTGCAATGTCATATGTTGTCCTATTACGGACCTTGTATGTAGAGATCTTGGAGCTGCTGGGTGGGGATATCTATTTTTGAAATGCACTTTGGGGTAATGGAAAGAAAATGGGTTTTGGAGCCAAATAGGTTTGAGTTTGAATCCTGGTGCTGCCATTTATCAGCTGTGTGACTAGTATTAAGCAAGCTATTTAACGTCTGAGGGTCTAAGTTCACCTACCTGCCACATTGAGAGAGTAATATCTGAGTAATACCTGGTAATTAGGATGACTGCACATAGATACCTCATAAGGTAGGCTTCATGGGAAAAATCTTGTCTAATCTGAGTACTTATATTATTTTTAGTTTATCCTAATTTTTCTGAATAATTTCTTTATTTTCTCTTTCTCTCATGGGCATTATATTAAGTAACTGACAAGATAGCCCTCATCCCTTTGGCTGCTTGAAGATTTAGAGCAAATTTGAGACTCCTCTGTAGTGGATTTTTAAGCCATTGGTGTATATGTTTAACCCTGTCTCAATTAATTTTTTTCCCATCTGTGGTTTTATTTAGCCTTTAATCCCACTGACCTTATTCCATCTTCGTGTACTAGTTATAAGCTCCCTCAAATATTTTCTAAGACAAGATAGCACGTAGAAGAAAGTCTAGAACGTAGCGGATGCTCCATAGATATTGATAAATGTATGAATGACTGAGTGTTAGAGAATACATTCAGAGACAGATGCTTCAGAGGACAGTCAAAACAAGGTAAAGAAGGTGAAGGCCACGAGTTCATGCCTCCAAGGTACTCAAACAAAGACCTGGAGAAAGCAGTGAGAAGTTGGAGCCATGAGGCTAGAAAGAGAGATTTGGAAGCCATTGGTGTTGATGGTAGTAAAGCCGGGGGTACATGTAGAAGACTCTAGCCCCAGAAGAAAAATGGATCTGGAGGACAGGAATCTCAGCACTTAAAGGCCAGGCGCCTGCTAGGGATGGCGCTAAGGAGTACTGGGAGAGAAAAAGACGGGGAGGACTGAAAACTGTCTATTGGATAAAGTGACTTAGAGGCCCCAGGGAAAGCCACCCACTTTATTATAGTAACAGTGGGGGCAAAAGATAAGGGTTGGGGAGCAAATGATCATTTCATAAAAACTACAGTAAACATTTACCAGGCATTTACTAGATGCCAGACCTGGCGCCAGGTGCTGACTGTGGATTCACATGCAGTAACAACAATGTTTTGAGGGAACGTTATCCCTCCCCCCTCTTTTACAGAAGAGGAAGATTGAGGCATAATGAAGTTAATCACCCAGAGTCCCACAGCTGGCTAGTGTGGATTCAAGCCAGGACAGTTGGATGCCAGACTGAAGATACTAGCTGGGAAAACAGCCACATTTAGACATCTCTGTAAGAAATCTGGTTGGGAGGAAAAGAAAGGGAAATGGAGGCAGTGACTAGAGGAGGAAGAAGAATAGTTGAAAGTGGATGGAGTTTCTTGTTGCTCGGTTGGTTGAAGATGAGAGAGATTTGCTCGGGCAGCTCTAATTGCTGGTGGGAAGGTTCGGGTAGTGGAGCGATAGGCTGACGATACTAGAGAGAGGAAAGAGAATTGCTATGCTGAGTTTCCAGAGAAGGCAGGAGGAATTTCTTCTAGAAAGAAGTGGGGATGTAGTTGTCCTGTTGCACTACGAAAAAGGCGATGAGCGCAGACCTGGGGAGGAGGGTATGCTCGGAAGTGGGAAGTGGAGGGAGCTCCCTTTAGGTGGCTTCTGTTTTCTGTGTGAAGTAGATGAGATGATCACCTGAGAGTGTGGTAGAGAAGTAGGGGAGTTGGAAGTCTGAGAAGAGTGGAAAAGGTTTAAGTAGAGAATGGGGGGGTGGAGCAGGAGGACTAGAGAAACCTTGGAGGGTTGTTGAATGATATTGACAGTCTTGCTGAGGGGTTGTCATGAGTTTATCATTAATCTGCCCTGTTGTGTGATTGTCCCCTGCCATGCACAGCCTTCTGGAAGGGGCTATTCAGTTGCTGTCTTGTTTATTGTCCATCCAGTTCTGCGAGCCCGTGATGCTTCTGCCCTGTCTCGATCGGCTCAGTTTCCACCTGCCGGCAGTTCTGTGTTCCACATGTTGTCCACGCACTCTCTCCATCTTAAATGCTACTATGTTTGGGTTCCTGGAAACTCCCACCTGGACTGTGCGACAGGC